TGCGGGGGTCCTTTGCAGTATAATACCCTGGCCTCATCTTCCGCCGTGGTAAATGTTCTTCCGGGGTTGAAGGGAAAAGTTTGCGGGGGGGTTTGGGTTCAAGATTTTTATTTAGACCCTTCTCAGGCGGTGCTCCAGCTCGCGAAGACGGCGGAAGCGCTTGGCGTGGAATTGTTCAACTACACACCGCTCTGTAGAATTGAGTATTGTGACCCTGATGGAGCGACTTCTTCTGATTGCACTGCCCCTTTGGTTAAAGCAACTGTATCACGAAATGTTGCTTCGCTTACAGCTTCAGATAAATCGACGAAAAAAAGTCTATCTACCAAAGAGACTTCTAGTTCTCTTCATACAATCTATACCAGAGGAATTATCAACTGCGCAGGGGCGTGGACGGACTCTGTGAAGGAGCTTACGCCGTGCAATGAGTTAGATGCCGTACCAAAGGCTTTTGATTTTTACTCTCTTCATACCTATCTCGTAGCTCCACGTAATGGAGTTTACGCTATTCCAAGCTCTCCTGTGCAAGAAAGTTTACCAGCTTACGATCGTGAAAAGCACAGTGATCCCCTTCCTCTCCCTTGGTATGCTATGTTATGCGAGAAATGGAACCTAAAATATAGCGATGCGTTTTTTTTTGAACGAGCACTTCCCGCTTTTCAGGCATGTTCGACGCTTTACAGCTTTTCCACCTCGATGGTGTTGCCGTGGTACGATCAAACGGTTTTACTCGGCCCAAGTATCTCTAGGCTGGAGGATTTACCTAGCAAGTTTCCATTCTTTTCTTCCAGGGCGGTAATACATTCGACCGACAATTATCGTCATCAGATTGCGCATATCACGAGCGCTCTCGCCGCAACCGGTATCGGGTTTGATTTATCAAGCTTACTTACTTGTGTTTCCACAATCGTGCCTACTTTAAAAGATATCAAAACGGTTCCATGGGCGAGCGAATTGTTTTACAAAGGCTATAATATTTCGACTTTTCAAAAACATGAGAAGCCATCCGAAGGGGTTGTGGAAGTAAAAGAGAAAATCAACACGAATCCTGAGGCTTTTTGCCCGCCCTTCGTTCATGTTTACGGGGGAACGCCTTTAATGGCTCGCCGTATTGCAGAAGAGGCTGTGGATGCCTTTCTTCATAATACCTCGGCGATACCAGAACAGGCAAAAAAAAACTTAAAGAAGTGTACCACAAGGAACCTCAAGTTGCTTTCTTACGATATCATGCCGGTGTTGAATCCAAAAATGGAAACAAAATCGTCAAGAGCCTTAGGACAACTTTCGACGGATAACGGAAAAGATCCATTAAAGGAATCAATGGATGACTCTTTTAACAAGGTAGGGGAGCCTCTTTTGTGGGTAAAAAAGCTTGTGCTCGGTAGTTATGTGGAGCACTTATCGGATTTAATCTTCCGCCGTTCGCACGTGGCGTATACAAGCCCCGCAGAGGCCTTGAGCGCGCTCCCGTATCTTGCGGATGTATTAAGCAATAATTTAATGTGGGATGAGCAGCGAAAAAAAAATGAGATTGAAGTTGCAAAGACATTAATTAAGAGCGTGGCCGTGAGGGTAAATCCTAAATGAGGATAAAAGTACTTGACCTTTACGAGGTAAGCTTTCGCTCTTAAATCCAGTATTTTTTTTATTATTCTTGCTATTGCTAGATGATTCTGGCATATTAATTTTCCATAATTTAATGAACTTTTATTTTTTGTACTACAGGTTTTATATATTTTGCTTTCAAAATGAAATTGATATCGACTTCGAACTCAAAACAAATATTGAGACTAAAGAGGGAGGGGTAATAAAGAACACAGGAAAGGTTTTTTTTTTCTCTTCTAGGATTAACCCTGAGAGATCTTTTTTATGGGTTTCTACTCATATATATTATTTTCTATTTTGTATGAATACATGAAAAGAGAAAACCTTCAGTGACCAGACAAATGGAGAAAGAGAGAAAAATATCTCTTATTTGCCTTGTGTTATTCGGAGTGAGTGCTCTTTCTCAGTGTAATGCACTTATCGATTTTGACATCATATAGGTTTCATTCACATTTTTTTGGTTAACTTATACAACGTTTCCACCTCTGAATAACCCTACCGTGGATGGTTTCCGGGAACTGTGAGCTTTTACCTGTGCAATATATTTTAACAAATCATCACAACACTACTTATCTTTACATTTTTCAATATTTATCTAATTCCGAAGTACTTACATTTTTATTTTTAACTCCAAACTATGATAACTACGGCGGAAAAGGTAAACTCAAGGAGGTTTTAGTTTTTATTATTTTTTTTTTTAGGATGGCTATTGTTGTTGTTCAGGTCGGGCAGTGTGGGAATCAGCTTGGAGATGAGCTTTTTATGCAGCTTTATACCTCTTCGAAGGGAAGTTCCTCATTTCCGTCGCCTTTTTTCGCGCAGGATGGAAAAGCGCGCTGCGTGCTTGTCGATTCTGAGCCGAAAGTTGTTCAGGGTGTCGCTGCCCGGCATAGTAAGTTTATTCGCACGGAAAACGTCGTTGGGGGGCAATCCGGACGAGGGAATAACTGGGGCCTTGGCTACTACGGTGTACAAGATCCTCATAATGCCACTCACAGCAATAATCCCTCCTCTACTAATGAAGCACGCTCCCCCAGCCATCAATCCTTTATAGCTTTTCGCAAAGATCAACGCGCGGCGGATGGAGAATTTCTGAGAAAATCACTCCGTGCGATTCATCTAGAGAGTTGGCGGACCTCCGATTGTGAGACTTTCGAGGCGATTGTGCTGGTCCACAGCCTTGCGGGGGGGACCGGGAGTGGGTTTGCCTCGCTTTTAGCGGAGAAGATTCGCTATTACTTTATCCAACCCCCCGAAGAGGACTGGGAAAATTGGGATGAGGTCAAGGAGGAGCAGGCTCGGCGTAAGGATGGCCTAGACGGCATGCTCGTGGAGAAGCGTCGCGCGAAGTATCTCTTAAGCATCGCCGTCGCCCCGCAGTCCGAGGGCGAGCTCGCGACGCAGAGCATTAACGCGACGCTGAGCCTGCACATCCTGCACCGCTGCGCGGATGCGATTCTGCTCCTTCGCAATGGCGACGTCATGCCGACACCGGGCGGGGCACTTGCCGTCCCCAAGTCCGCCTACGCCGGGCTGGTCCCGCCCTGTACCACCTTCAAGGAGGCCAACGAAGTCTTCGTCGCGCTGCTGCTGCCGGTCTTTGGCTACGGCCGGGGCTTCGGGAGCCTCGACGCCCTGATCCCGCAGGCCATCCCCTGTTACACCTCCACTCGTGCCGGGCCCTCGTGGCGGGCCTCCTCCGCACCCGTGCGCCTTCCCACCAATAACATCCTCTCGCTGGTGCCGACCCCTCAGGGGTGTTACGGGACCTGGCGAGGCTGCGCGTGGCGCGGACGGTTTTACGCCATCCAGAGCGGTAAGGCCATGTTGCCCGGTTGTCAGCCGACGGTCCCTTGGCAGACGATTTTGGCCCCCTCCGCGTGGGGTTCGGCGCGTTTGCCAAGGGAAACACCAGACCGAGGTCGCGTGGAACGGCACCGCCAGGAAGAAAGGAAGGGGGGGGCGGGGCAGTTGAGACAGCGGCGGCTGATCGACAGCAAGGATCCTCTCCAGAGGTGTTTCCCTTCACCAAGGTCACATCGAGAAGGCGGTGAGATAGATCTGGGGTCCCCGCAGGAAGGTGAGCCTGCGAGCTCTAGTGAGGATTCCGACGCCGCCAGCTGCACGTTTGCAGAAGTTTCCGTCCACCTCCCGGCTGAACTCCAGAGACATTACGTGTCTCTAAAGCGCAGCCCAGTGGAGCGACTCGCGAGATCCTTGGAGGGGGTTATGGTGCTTAATCAAACCCGTGAACTTAACGCCACCGTGCTTTTCCCTTTGCTTAGCTCCGCGGCGTTGAAAGTGAAGATGGGGGCTTTTTTACACATGTACGAGGAGGCAGGCGTTTCCGCACAGCGTATCGAGAAAGCCTATCAAGAGCTTGCTGGTTTTCTCAGTGAATCAGAAGATCTTTGAATAAAGACCAGAGGGGAAATAATAAGATGTGTATTTAGAGAAGGAGTTCTTTCTCTTGTTTTTGTTGCGATAATGATAGTATGGATGATTGGAGATTCAATATTGATGGATTTTTTTAATCTTTTCTTCCACCCTTTCTGTATAAACACAATACAGGACCCTATATTTTATCTGTTTAACCCTTTACTAGGGAAAGATTCTCCGCATCCACACACACACACACCCAAAAAGGAAAAAAATAGTTTTTATTAAAAAAATAACTCAACTGAAGGTGAAAAACCTTGTGGTCACTCGATGAGATGCCAAGGACGCTCTTTCTTTATGGCATTAAAGGTGAATATGCCTCAGGTTCACGCGGCTAGCGTTCAATCGGTGCGTCTTTCCCGTTCTCGTATGTGGAGTCGTTTCTTCACGCGCGCGCGTCTGACGATATTTCCCCACACTCCGAGGGTGATGTGGACGGTTTTGCTGACGCCGCGGCGCGGTTTTTCCATACCCCCCACGGAGGCGCTCACCAGCCGCTGGAGCCCCCTCACCTCGAGCGCCTACACAACCCACATCGACGGCCCTCCCACTTCCGCTGAGGAGGCGAAGGCGCACAAAAAAGCCTTTTCATTTCCCCTGAAGGCTACAGAGCAGGGGATTTTCGAGCGTGGAGTTTCGTCCGAGGCAAAGGACTTCGCCGCGGCGGCGGAGCGGGAATATCGGGCGAGCGTCGAATACCTTGATCAGGCCCCGGGCGGCTGCGCCGGGCTGCCGGAGGTGGAAACGCGAATCAACGCAAAAACAAAGGCGGTGGAGACGATCACGCGGATCGCCGCCCCCTTCGCGGAGACCTACGTCCCCTCCGGCAAAGAACGCTTTGCGATGCGCGGGAATGTCGGCGAGCTTTCCTACCAACGTTCCCACCCACGACGGGAGCTGCCGGACGAGCGCGCGATGTTGAACCTGCGGAAGGAAAGGCAACTTGAGGAGCTGCTTCTTTCCTCTCAAATGGCGATATTACCGAAGGCGCGTGAGGTTTCTCTTTTTTTGATCTCCGACTTTTACAAGAATCTACTGGTGCTCCAACCGCGCAATGCGGAGGCGGTTATTGTGTTGTTCTCCCAAGCAAGTCTGCAGCTTCGACTGAGAGGGCTGGAAACGGAAGAGGACGGTGCAAAAGCGTCTGTGCATTTACCGAGCAGGGGCTCTTCGTTGCCTTCGCCGTCTCTTACGGCAAGGAGTGGGGAAGGAGATCCCAATTGCATTCCATATTTGTCCGATATGCGTCGTTTATATGCGCATCAAAAGGCCTGTTTTGCGGCACCGACCCCGCTCATGGCGGAACAGCTGATGAGCGCGCTCAGCGCCGTTCCCGCCGCTAGCTCTTTGGTTTTCCACCTCGCGGGACGGATTTTCATCGATTGCGATAAATACGTTGTCCTCCCCACACGAACGACCTACGCGGCGTTTTTTAGCATTTGCCGATTAAATCACGCGATGCCCTTCGCCATCGCACGGATGACGGATGGGGTTTGCCGACTTCGGATTTCCCTCGACGCCGCGATGGCGACGGCGATGCTGCGTGGGCTGAACGAGGGCGGCTATGCTGAGGAGGCAGTCGCGCTGCTAGCGCGAATCGAGAAGGTCCCCCTCACCACACCGCTTTTGAACGCCTCGCTCGAGACGCTTTTGCTTTCTTCGCAGGCGGCGAGTTGTTTTTCCGCCTTGGAGGCGGCCAGGGAGGCGAGGCTTCAGGTGGATGGGGATACCTACACTCTTCTCCTCCTCGCCTGTGAGAAGTCCGGGGAGTGGGCGCGGACGACGGCGATTTTGGCGGATATGCAGCGGCACCACGTGAAGGGCACCCCGCAGACCTTAAATTTACTCTTGAAGGGGCTTTTAATGGAAAAACTCCACAGCTACGCCCTTCAGCTCCACCACACGATGCAAGGGAAACGCGTTGAGGTATGGCCGGCGCTGGAGGAGGCCGTGAAGGGGCTGCGCAGGACTCTCGGAAATGTAAAGGACTCTCGGCGACATGGTAAATTTGTGGGGCGCAATGAAAAGTCTCCTGCCAAGGTGAACTATTCGCAGCGCCATAATGAAGGTTGAACTTTTTTTTGTTATTTCTTCCATCTGTGCATCATTACTTTCACTATTCTTAGTGAAGAATTTGTTTGATGATTTTTCGTTTTTATTGATCGAATGCGAAAGAACATAGATCTATACATTATTCTCAATTTTATTAGTGATCGAATATGTTGTTTCTTTTCCTATTTCTCCCAAACATATATACTACAAATGATATTACCCTTACATTTGGTTTCTATTTTTTCTCTCTTTCTTTTCAAGAGTTGTATTGTAGTGACGTACACCCCTTATTTAGCACTAGACCTGTAGCCCATTATCAAAATAATTAAGTAATATACGACATCAGAGTTAGAATTGCCTAGGTAGACATGTTTTCCTCTATAAAGCAAGAATTTTCACTGGAAAAAAAAATCAAGTTGGAGTTTGATTTTAAATCCGAGTTGAAAGACGAGGAGGAAGAGCCTATAGGGACGGTTTATATCTGCGCGAACTGCACCACTCACGTGACCCTCACTCCATCCTCAACCTTGCGCTGCACCACATGTGAGCATTTGACAGGTTCTTCTACCGTTTTTTATAAGGTACGTACTCAGGCCACTACTTATGATACCATCTAATTACTAATTACGAAAGTAAAGAAGTTAAATGATAATAAAAAGAAAACCTGGAATCTTCGCAACAGAGGCAACGATAAGGCTTGCCAATTTTTGGCAATTTTTTTTTTTAAACTAACTTCTTTGCTAAAAGTGTATGAGAGAGATTGGAACATTTTATATCACTCATAAATATTATAGGATTTCTTTGCGAGCGTGTAAAATGGAGTGTTAGTATTATAAAACCAAGTAAAAATAGCGTAAGCTTATTTTATCTTATTTCATTTATCATTATTTTACATTACACTCTATGTCCTAAAACAAAAACCTATGTGAATCATCCTTCTTTTTTTAAATTTACTATTGTTTCCGTATTTAGTAAAAAAAAAGAGAAATATACCCAATTTATTTTCTCCACTTCAGAAGTTAATAAAACGAAGGTTAATGTCTCAGGTACGCAAAACAGCTGGTAATACAGACGAACAGCCCACAAAGCCGAATTGTGTGTGTTCCACTTGTTTTACCCCACAGCCCTATCCCCAACCCGGGATCTCCACCATGCCTTACCAATGCTCGTATTGTAGGCTGTACGGAATGGATATGAAGATTCTCTACACCCGTCGTTCGTTTCCAACGGAGCACTCCACTCGGTAATCTGGAGGGAATAGTTTTTGTGTATAGGTATCTTCTATAAACATTATTGGTCCCGCCTAGGTATACCCAAAGAATAAGCTAATTTGTACAACAAAAATGTCTCATTATGACATCAGTCAGTTTAGCTAGATTCTCCTATTTTTCTAAAGTTTTGATTTGTCATTTACATTTCCTTTATCCATATAAAGAACCATTGACATATTTTTTTACCAAGTAAACATAAACGTATAATTAGATTGTTTACATGCACGCCCTAAGGAGAGACCTTATCGAATGCATTCACAAATCCACTGCCCGTCTTTCTGCCTGTATCTGCGGCTCAGGGACCTCAATGATTTCTTCTCTTACCCAAGTTCCAGGCTGCAGTAAGACTTTGATTTATGCGGAGACAATTTACTCCTTACCGGCCATCCACCGCGCCCTTGGCTATACTCCTAAAAGTGTTGTAAGCAATGCGGTTGCCAGGCAGCTCGCTCAGCGCGCATTTTACCACAACAAAGCCCTCATAAAACCTTTTGAAGGGGATATTTCATTAAATTCCTCATTTTTAATGGGTGTAGGAGTGACCTCAGCGATTCAAACCAATTTCAAACGCAATGATAAGGATCGTATGCACATGTGTATTTGGTCCGCACATGTAAATCCCGAATTAGGGGAAACCACCGAAGATGCGGATCAGATTGAAGCCCTACGAAAGGCTAACTTACACATTAGCGTGAGGGATTTCTACGTAGAACCACCTCCGGGTTGGGATCGTTATCAGCAGGATGACTATATTGAATTGGTTATTCTCTACAATATCGCGAAAGTTATCCGGGAAGAGTGCACATGCCCTGACGAGATCGATTCTATTCTTCGCATGCTTTCATCCCCATCATTTATTTCGACATTAGGCCCGGCGCCATCGTCGTCATCGTCGCCTTTGCTCGACGTTGCATCGCCTTCGATTTTCAGGGTATCCGCCACCGATCGGGTCGCCGAGGCGGTTCAATTCGTGCTCGATGGCAAAACCAGCAGTGTTAGGTTTAACGAGTTCGGTGAGATTCGCTGCGAGGTTCCGCCCTACACGCCTGAGGTGCACACCATACGAAAAAGCACCCTCTCATCGTCCGCGAATCCAAACGATTCCCGCATCAAGGCGGAAAACCCGATCCGCCTTCTCTTTCCAGGTTCGTTTCGCCCTCTGCATTTTGGGCATACGGAGCTGGCGCGGGCGGCATTGCGCGCGCTCACGCGCAAGCGGCCTGAGGAGGAAAAAGCGGAAAAGGAGGAGAGGGGAGGCCTTTACGCGCGCACGCGAATCACCTACGAGATCACGGTCAACATTCTCGACAAGGGCCGTGTTTCCTGTGAGGATCTCACCACCCGCATCTGTCAGTTTCTCCAGCGCGGCGAACGTGTCGCCGTGACGAACGCCTCGCTTTTTACGGAAAAGGCACTTCTTTTCCCTGGCGTGGGATTTATTGTGGGTGTGGATACCGCCCGACGGATTCTCGATCCTCGATATTACGAGGGAGGGGATGTGGTGCAGGCCCTTTTGGACGGCATCGGCAAGCGCGGCTCTTATTTTATCGTCGGCGGCCGTTCGGTCGCTAGGAAAGATCCGGGAAAGAAGGGGAACCAAGTTGTGTGGGAGGACTTGCGTTCACTCGAGATCCCGGACGCGCTTCGACACCTGTTTATAGGCTTGGAGGAAAGTGAGTTTCGTATTGATATTAGCTCGACTGAATTGCGCGCAAGGTTGGGGATGACGTAAGCGGCAAAGACCACAATAATGTTCTTTACGGAAGCAATATGAATTCAGCAATCCAAGACTAGTTTAGTCTAATAAAAGCACTGTGTATGTACAGATAAGTTCTCTTTTATCTATCATTGTGTGTGTATTTGTTTGCTATCTCCATGTTTTTCACATGCGTTTTGTACACTTGCCTCATTAGCTGTGACTTTATGGTATGCCAGTGTCTAAATACCTCCTTTTTAAAATTAGCTTATATTATATATATATATATATATATATTGATATAAATCGTCTTCATTTTATATCTCTATATCCTTATA